TAGCGCCCTCGCCGGAACTCAAACCTCTCGAATACGCGACGAGTGTGCTGACTACTACACCACGAAGGCATTCTAAAAAGGCAGGAGAAATACCTTATACACTTATAAGCGTAAAAGTAACTATAATAATAATTAAATACTTATATTTATTATATCTGCCGCACATTTTAATGATACTCATTAGACTACGTACTTTTTAATATTTGTACATATTTTTGCAAAAAATTAGTGCAAAGCGTTTGGAATAAATATATAATTAAAATTTTACTTTTTCACTTCAAAAGGAGCATCTGGAATAATTTTATTATTTATTATTTTTTTTAATGCGTACAAAGATGTGGTTTCAATTCGGTGTGTTAGTTTTAATGCATATAATTTCGTTTACTAAGTTTATACGTTTTAAGTTCAGTGTATGTAATAGTTCGATATAAATAAGTTCAATTTGGGTGGTTTGACTGCATATGCTATGTCACCTTTGCAAGTATATCGTTTACAATAAAGAGAGAATTAAAAAAGGAGATTCTTAAGTACTTCCGAGTAACAGCTTTTTATAGATACATACCGTGATATTTCTACCGGAAATACGACACAGAAATGCCCAAGGACAATTTCGAGGCTCTTCAGGAGCTTACAAAAAGGTGTTGCTTCTTTGAATATTTCCCGTTCTCAATGGAATTGTGTCGAAAATAAATTGACCTGTTAGGGAGAAATACAGGAAGTAAGGCTGGCGGACAAGTTTTTGCGATTCTGACTACTCGAACACAATGAACGAGGAACCAGAAACGAATTTGCCAAAAATAAATCAAGGAAAACTGTTAGATATATCTCCTTTGCTCATAGAAAGTTTCAGCATTTATAACAGTAATGTGTAGAAATTGTAATATTACAAAAAATACAGAAATGACTAAGTTAGTGAATAAACAGATAAATATGTAAAAATGTAACTTGCAATCTGAAAAACTCCAAACGTCTGAAAAACAATCCGAGATTATAGTCTAATACTTTGCCAAAGCGTTAATCATCGAAATCTTTTTAAAAAATAAAAGCGTAACACATTAAAAATACGAGAAATTAAAAATACCTATATCCTTTTCTAAAATAAAAATAGTATTTATTATTGCCAACATATAAAATTAAAACTTAACAATTAAATCCCGTAACATTTCAACTCAAAAAAGGCTATCGGTTTCAAAATCTGCGGTGTTTCTTTCCGGATTTCCTTTTTAAATGTCAAACTAACATTAAAAGTGAAATTGGCAATGTCAAAATCTTCGTTTACAGTCTGATACCTGGGTAAAGAGATTACTATTATTTTGTTTTTAAATAAAAAGTGTAAAAAGCTAAAAAAAATACATGCGTATACACAGGACTGGCGGATGTGGGTCTGCTAATACCGGCGGCCAGACCGAAGACACATACAGGACCTGCATATATACAGGACCAGCGAAAGTGGGTCTGCGCTGCCGCAGGCGTGCTACACCCAAAAAATGAGCCGATCCACACGGCGCCTATATCAGTTTTTATCCACAGTTAGGAGTCTATAAAGAAATTATTTTAGAAATTACAAGAGTAAAGATGCAGTCACACGAAGTATATTTTAACATAAATATTTCCACAATGAAATTGAGCTTTACTGTGCATCAAGTGCAGTAGGCATCGAAAATTAAAAATTCAGGTACAGGTATGAGTGGGGCACCAGAATTTCACCATAGCTAGCAACAGGTATAGTCTTACCACGCTAACAGGGCACCTGCACCCCAGTTTTGAAGAAGAACACCTTAGAAGGTGGTACGAGGATCACCCACCCCTCCTCCGCATACTGCCTATCACAAGCAGGGAGACCTTCAGTTCGCCGTATATTTTGAACATCTCCTTGCCGCACAGACACTAACTTACAAGCATCCATGCTTTCTCCTGGATTTGAATCTGAGTCCATCTGTAAGGCAGTCCACTATACCGTTTGGGAGGCTAGTTAAAAATGCTACACTATGCCACACCGCTTTGCATTCAAGCACACTGACGACTGTTTATTTGTTGATTATGAAAAATCACCACATGCTGCGTCGGCCAATCTTGAAGTAATTACTTTGTAGAGACATTAGGTATTTTTTTTTTTTTTTGGAAGCAGGCAAAATGAAAAATATGCAACGCCTTCGCCGAGAATCGAACCACGGACCTTTCAATTACACGCTGAACGTGCAGACCACCACACCACGAAGGCGTGCCAAGAAGGCAGGAGAAATGTCTTATAACTTGAACGCAGTTCGATTATTCGAATGTAGTCTTCAAAAAGTTCTGGAAGAATTATTTTTTAAAGTTTATTTTAAAGGCAAGGTTTCTCAACATTGAGTAAACTTCATTTCGTCTAAAACCAGGAAGATGCAATGACGTGGTATTTTTTACTCGTAATGGTTTTTCTGTTAATAAATTCTCCTGAATCGTTACCTCCTACACAAGCAGTTATAGAAAGAGGTCAGTTGGTTGAATTTCATCCATTATTAAATTGCCACAGATATTTGACTACTAAATGCTAAGTTTAGAGCTTGCAATCAATTGATCGTGGGATCATTTGGAAAACGGTGTGTTGATAACTAATTTTCGTGCTCATCAGAAAGATTTGACTGTATTCTTTGACACTGACGAAGAATAAAATTTTTGCAAGGATGTAAATAGTTTATTCGGAGTTCTCGATATGAGTCATAATCCGCAAGAATAGACATTGTTCATAGTTGTTCAACATTAAACGTAAAAACTATTCTGCTACATATCGGAAACAGTTTACTGTCATTTCCTCTTGGCCAGGCTGTTCATATATGAAAGAATCGTATGAAACTTTGAGGACTATGCTAAAGTGCATCAAATACGAGCAGTATAAATGGCAAGCGTGTGCAGATTTAGAAGTAGTTGCTCTTTTACTAGGGTTGCAGCAAGGATACACGAAATTCTACTGTTTTTTGTGTGAATGGAATAACCTAGCAAGGGCAGATCATTTTTAATTGAAAGAATGGCCTATAAGAGAGTCCTTGGAACCAGGAAAAAAAGAACGTGCAGCATGTGCCATTGACTGACCGAGCGAAGATATTACTATCATCGCTACGCATAAAATTAGGGCCAATGAAGAATTTTGTGAAAGGGATGGATAAAAATGGCCCGGTATTTCAATATCTTCGAGGGAAATTTCACAGGCTAAGCGAAGTAAAAATAAAAGGAAGGCATTTTTGTTGGGCCATAAATCCGAAATATTTTCAAGGACGAATGTTTAAAAAATATGTGAAAAGTAACGAGAAGAATGCCTGGATAAATTTTCGGCAAGCAGTTATTAACTTTCTAGGAATCGAGAGGTCTGAAAATTATACTGGAGGAATTGTTATTGTATAAGAAAACTAGGTTGCAACATGTCTTTGAAAATGCATTTTCTTGATTTCCACCTGGAGTTTTCCCCAGATAACTGCGGTGAGGTTAGTGATGAACACGGCAAGCGCTTTCACCAGGACACTGCAGAGATGGAGAAAAAATACTACGGTGGAGCCCTTCTAAGCTTGCCGATTATTGTTAGACACTTGTTAGAGATGCTCCTGATGCAGCAAAACGAAGACGTGTTTAATTTTAGAAAAGCACATTCAAATAATTTTTTATAAATGATATACGTTTAAAAATGTGTTTAAAAATTAATAAGAAACTGTAACTAACTATTGAATTTCTCTGTTGTTTTCATATTTAGCACCACAATTTCCAAATAAAAACGTATTTTATATTAAGGATACCGACAAAAAGTTCAAATCTGTTGTCTAGTAATTAAGACATACTAACATGCCGAACAAATACTAATTCAGAAGTCAAACAATAAAAATCAACGTTATATTTTCAAATTTTCACAGGACTACTTTTGATGGTTTTACCGAACCACCATCGTCATCTGCAAAAGCACAGATGAACGAGATAGAATATAATGATCAGATAAGATAAGAAAGCCTGGACAGAAAATAAACTATTGGCGCCATCTGTTGATGAAACCAGAACTAAAACATAATTTCTTTAAAGGCCGACAAAAAAGTACTTACCGAAACCCATGCAATCACAAAATGGCGGCCACACCACGTGCAAAAAAGGAAGCGAAAAATAAGCCGTTTTCGGCTCCGAAAAGCCTTTCGCCTTTTAAAGAAATTATGTTTTAGTTCTGGTTTCATCAACAGATGGCGCCACTAGCTTATTTTATGTCCAGGTTTCCTTATCTTATCTGATCATTATATCCTATCTCGCTCATTTGCGCTTTTGCAGCTGACGATGGTGGTTTGGTAAAACCATCGAAACTAGTCCTGTGAAAATTTGAAAATATAACGCTGATTTTTGTTGTTTGACTTCTGAATTAACTGTTGTCTAGTATTACCAGACTGTTAAAATGACAGATTTTGGATTTCCTGTTTTGCAGTTGTTATATGTGTCATAATGGTGTATTATAAAGTCATAATGGTGTATTATAAAAGTTTGTAAATAATACAGCCTTCTGAAGTACGCGTTTAAAGTAGTACAAGATGTTTTTGAAATAAGCGTTTGTAAATGATACAGCCTAGAAGATTTTTCTGAAGTATGCACTTCTGAACTATGCGTTTAAAGAGTTTATTTCAAGAGCGTATCATTGAGACTATTAGGCATAACCTGCCAAATTTATCAATTGTACTGATAGTGCAATACAAGATTCTAAAAGTTTTTCTGGAATGTTTTATTTTTCTGGAGTATTTATTTTTCTGGAATATTTCATCATCATCATCTTCACGATAAAGTAAAGTCATGCTGTTAAATGGAATATTACTTTTGCATTGAAAAATCATTTTACTAACAACCGCAATAATCGGCCTTTTTTTAGCATGGCAACATTCTCTAAGCTATAACTTGAAATTTTTATATTACTTTTTAGAAAATATATTTGTAGCCACGAATTCCATGTGCAATAGAAGTAGGTAGCAATATAAAGAGTTGTGAAACTTGTTCTATTATTTTAGGGGAGGATAATTGGAATGAGATTGTCCTGACCCAGAGGGAAATGACAGCATGATTTCGGACTTTTAATAAAAAGAATAAAACTGGATTTACAGAAGCTGAAGATGACATTCCTCTGTATATCTAAAAACAATAATGAAAGTGATAAATGTAAATCCTATCAAATCAGATAATGTAATAGAATCAGAATAAATTATTATTTATGCTAAATATACTTATGGAAAACACATGCTGAAAGCGTTTTTTTTTATTCCGTAGAAATACTCTAACATGGTTATTTTTTATAAAGAAAAAAAAATAAATGTTAAAAAAATGGAGCTAAGAGCTGTTATTTATTTATTTATTATTCTTAAATCGAATTGAAAATAATAAACTTTTCAAGTACTTGTCAGATTAAAAAATGGAATAAAACTAGATGTATATTAAACTGTGGTAATTTGAGTGAATGTTTTGCATTAACAAATGTGAATTGTTTAAATTTAATCATTTAAATTTCTTTTCTACAGAAGTGAAGAAAGTTTGTGATCTATTAAGTGTTGCCGTGAAGACGTATTGGATACACTACAAAGTAATTTTCTATTCAATTTCATATAGCCTAATTAACCTTTATAGCCTGTTTGGTGTATCTCAAAATAACTAAATTAGTAAAAGTTTAGAAAGAATTGCAAAATACTAGTTAAAAAATAAAAAATAAATTCTAAAATGATTTAATGAAACTAAAATAAGCCAGAAATACTACCCTTCTTTCTATAATGCTGGCTAAAAAATTTCCGTAATTTTTTTTTCACACAGTATGTATTTTAAATGGGCTTTTCAAAATAACATCGGCAAGCTGCAGAAAGAAAGGACGTGATGTGTTATTATTCCATCATAAATTAATGTTGCATGGGAACTTTTTCATTTATGTGATTAAAAAATAATCATTGAAACAACTATTGTATTTTTTCACTGGATCATATGCAGAGTTTGCAATAAATAAATGCTGCAGGTGGAATAACATGAGATTCATTAAATGAAAACCATTAATTCTTTTTGAAGATGTTATGTTGAAATGTTTTGAACTTAAACTGATTTTGAAGGAAGACATTAAAAACTAGACTTGTTATTATTCTGCTTGACTTTTTTTATCTTGGTCGCAGTCTCATTTCTGTTTTTAGTTTTATTTATCCTCATTCTGTTTGCTTTCTTATTTTGCGGAGAATGTTTTTTGATATAGACATCTTAAAATATTTTATATTGCAAATCGAGCTGTCATTGTTATCTTAATTCAAGATCTGATCTTATTTTGAGGAAATTTGCTGTTATTACTTTTAATTGTGTATCGGTCAAAATATTAAAATAAACCTTATACGTAAACAATAATTTAATGGATAAAACTTCCTGTATAAATTTTTTTTTTAACCGCTTAGATACAAATAATAAAATGTCATAGACATAAATCATAAAATAATAGACATAAAACACAAAACATAAATAGACATAGATCATAAAACGTCATTGCTGTTATAATTCAAATTATTTATAAATTTTATTTTTAACTAAAGACCGTGTAAGTTTTAGTTATCATTGTGCACTGAAACATCAGTTTATTTGTGTTAATTGAAGTAATGTTAGTACGCTTTGTTTAATCTGATGAGTTAAATTTTTATGCAAATCTTTATTGAATTCTGGAAGATATTTATTACAGTTTTATGCTAATATTCTTTCCAAAACAAGACTGAATGTTAATGTATGGATTTTCTCTTAAGTTTAAACTTTAAAACTGGATGCTTGCTTCTATGCTTTTGAACTACAGCATTTTTAAACAACCTAAAATTTTTGCCAAAATACTTATTCTTTCTGTAGTTGGCTCGCTGTCTCTTCTCAGATATTTAAGAGGCTGTCTGTCTGAGCAATCTTTAAATAAATATCGAAAATATGCTCAGGATAAAGGAATAGAATGATTATATGGAAGATATTTTGAGGCATAGTATTATTCCTACCTATAACTGGTAACGTTAAATACAGATAAACGCTTCTAAAATGAAATGAAATGTCATGTTTCATCTCATTAGTTGATCTGACAGTGAGAAAGGAACTTCTTGTTCTTGAGTAATTGCTTATATTATATTATTATGAGAGGGAAAAAATATACCAGAGTATTTTATTGACACATGTAACATGAAGATTAAAAGATTAAATTCACTTGCTACATTAGTATTTACTGCTCGACTTGAATATAGAAATTCTGCTTTCAGCATTTGAATTTAAACTTTAAAACTTAATTTTATATTGATTTACTGAAATTTAAAAATTTTTTATAGTATTTTTCAAACCACTAATATATGGAAAATGTTTATTTTATTAACTGTCTTCCCCTTATTTTCAAATGCTGAATTCAGAAAAAATAATAGGAGTATTCAATTTTCTATTGTTTAGATATATATTTGGGAAAACTTCTAAAATTTCAAAATTTAATGTGAAACTAACTAATTAAAATAATGTATATTATTATCATTTGTTCATCATTTAGATTTTTGCAGGCATTTACAGAATTCGATAAGAAAAATAAGGTGTGGAAGTATTTACATTTTATAAGCAATGGGAAAAAGCTAACTTATTAAAGAAACATATGAACAATCAATCATTATTTATAATTCATGCTTTCGGAAAGTATTAAGAATAACTCTGAAATCATAGCTCAGATCAATTTTACTAAATTGTATTCAGTATCTCTAAAAAAACATTTTTGCAATTAAAGATGTGCTACGTAAATTCAGTGCTGATTTATAAATAATTAAGAACATAAAATCACTGCTGTTTAGTATATCTTTCAAGTTTTTCCTTTTGTATTTATTTCAGTTTTCGAAGCCTTACCTTTTCGTGCATTAGATATCAGAATGTATGTATATAATAATGTTTTAAAATAACTTGAAACATGCAAAATTTAATTGAACAGAAATGTAAGTGGTATAATAAATACGCGGCAGATTTTAGGATTTTTTAAAGAAATTTTTGATAATGAACTGAAAAAAAGAATTACTCCTCGTTTCTAACTAAAGAATGATAAAGTGCTATATCCAAGATACATTTTAGTTACTGTTGAAGAGCATTTAAATTCCACTGACTTTTCTCTGAATAATAAAAGTGCGAGGTTTTCGTTTAGAAGTATCTATGTACCCTTTGTTATTATTTATTTAAATTTGCTTTCAGTTTACATGAGACACTTGTACACACACATGAGCAAAATGTTAGAGCTTACAAGATATACTATACAAATTAGTGTACATTATTTTTTCAATGGGCAAAATATTTATACTATTAAGGCATAAGCTCAACAAATGTACTTTTAAAATGAGTGGGGAAAAATTCTTTTGTATATTTCTGGTAAGTTTCACTAAACATAAAACAGCTGTGAAACATTAAATTATCCAAAAAATAAATTTATGGAAATAAAATGGCCATTAATAAAGCCAAAATTTTATAGAGCCTTATATATATATAAAGTATTTATGAAGAAAACTACAGGTATATTTTTATGAGTGTGCTTTGTATAGAAGTGGTAATCTGCAACGAAAGGTAAGTATCTCTTATTGCTTTTGCTTCTTCTTAAGATAAAACATATAACAGTAATTCATTTTTTAAATTTATTTAGTTATTTGATTATTAAATTAAAAATTCGTATTTTTGAATTACTTTAAAATTGTTTCTACTTTTCATTGCAGTGATTGCTTTAATATAAAATTCTACAATTTTAAAATCATACATATTTAGAAAATTGATTTAATTAATGAAAATTTTTTAAAAATTTTTTTATATTTTAGCTTATCCCATTTAACAAACTATGGAAAATTTCAACCCATGAATAGAACAAATGTGTGGATGGTGTTTTTAAATACTTGTAAAAGTTTAACTTTGTCTGTTTCATATATATTTTATTTTACTTATTAAAAGCACAGGTATATGAAAATCATATGCGTTTAAAATGACATTTCTACATTCGTAATGTGCGTATATTATCTGCATATAATTATAGAAACACGGTACTAAATAAATTTATGTATACCCGCGAAAATATTTGTAGATTTCATTAAAAATGCGCGTCTAAACGCAGTAGTATAAGAAAATATTTGATTTACGGAATTTGTTTTGCCAAACATGCACATATTAACGTGCATAAAATATACGAAGTACAAAATTGGGAAGATTTTCATATATGCAATAAATATACATAAATTTTCACCCAGAATTTATGTAAATCTATGAAATTTACATATATTACACATAAAAGCTACGAATAAAGAAATAAAAAATACGAATAAAGTGTGAATATACTTAAAGCTTACGTATAATTTACATATATTATAACGTAAAAATATGCTACTATTTTTCATCCTGACAGATTTTATGACATTTATATGTTCAAGTTGTACGTTTTTTATACAAATGCATGCTGCTGAGCTCTGGAAGTGTTATTAAGCACTGATAATCTCTTCTCGGAGAGCCTTGAGGATCATACTGATACAAGAATGAAACTTATAATACTTCTTTAAACTATAATTAAGCAAATTACTGAAAGCATGAAATCCCATTATGATTGGCGCATACAAAGGCCCACCAGCGGCCGAGCGGTTAAGTCACCAAGCACTGGTAGTTTGAGTTGAGTTCGATTCCATGCGAACGGGCTGACTGCATGTGGGTTTTCCCCGTTTGTAACGGGGATATGAGCCAGTTTTTCATAGGGAGTCCTCCACGAAGGCATCCCTCCCCTTAGGCAGATAATCATTGAGTGCTTTACCCTAGTTAAATAAACCTACCACAAAGAATAAAGGAAATTATACTCCTTATTAATGTCAAATTCTATGTTTGTTCGAAATTATTAACTTTTTTTTCTGAAATTTTGCTGTTAAGTAAACCTACGTATGTTTTAATTATTATTTTGTTTCATAACATAATTTTTGAGGCGTAAACGCTGATATTCGATGTTTTCAAATATGTATTTGCATAGTAAAATGCTACGCTTTATCTTAAATTCATAAATTTCATTTTTATTTTACAATTTTTTAAAAATAAATACCGCTTTTGGTGCATTAGAAACGATTACGATCTTTAATTACGATCTTTAGTGCATTAGAAACTGAAAAATCATTGCTGAAATAGGAAAAAATTAGGACTGAGATACAGTGACTACACACTGAGAAGTCTCAAGTCCACACTAAACTGTTGCGCCACTAAGGAAGAGGCTTAAGAGCTTTATTTCTTAATACTGAACGTACATACTTGCGATCCAGTTTAGTGAAGTTTAAAATGTGAACATAGATGAGAAATAGCTGGGAAAGTAGAACAACCCTTTCCCCGTTCTGAACGGTGGAAATAAATTCAATTTAAAGCAGAATCAAAAGAAAAATTAAATATTCAGAGTAGATTTTTATTCAGTTTTAATGCAAAATAAGTTACGAAAACGATTAGTAAAGACCTAATGTAAAGCTAAGCACTGAATTTAGAAGACATGAAAATTTCAGCGAGTAGAGGAAATGTATTCTCCCGAGGACACAGTAAACTCTCTCCGAGACAGAATTTTAATCCCGCATATTTGCTCAATCTGACTTATGGCAGTTTTTTTCTTAGCCGTTGTGTACTGTAACTTTTTTACCTGCTCAGTGCTTGCAGAGGGGGAAAAACACTTTCTAGAAATGTGGCCATTGAATTTCCGAAGATTCCTGAATTACTCTTTCGAAAGTAATGAAACCGCACCCTATTGGCTGACGCTGTATGCATATCCGTTTAATGTAAGGTCTCAACCATAAGGAAAGCCAAGTTGACGGAAGACCTGGATGGCAATTTCGGAAAGGAGTGCAGTAGGTCAGCAGGGAGAAAGTGCCGGATAGACGGAAACTAATCAAATAGCGTGCTTTGAGGAATAATCTCGGTTTTTCCTGGTGGCTGTTGCACAGTATCGCGTGGTGTCCCGATTTGAGTGGTAATGGTCAGCAAGCGCAAGGTTATTGAGAGTAATTTCTCACTTTCACCGAGTTAGAACCGAACATAATCAAAATGAAGTGTTTCGCGTGCGTGCTACCTTTGTTGTGGCTCGTTGTACTCGCCGGCGAGTATGAGGAATACATTGAAGGATACGATTTGGTTCATGACATCGGAGGAATAAACCAGTGCCATGAAGGAGTTTGGCACTTAGCGAGACGTAAGTCATTTTGCATTTCTTAACTCAGAACGCCCACAGTATTTAATCTTCTTTTAATAACTGCATGCTTCAAATAGATTAATTATTGAGATAATTAAGCTCCTTCTTATCATAAAAAGTACGAGGGAAAAGAGTTTCCGAAAAAATTCAAGTGTTCTTAAAAGTGTTTAATAAAAAATTTTTTTTTAAGTTTCATTTTCTCTCGTGACTGTTAGCTGAAGTGGTTAGCCAGCAGCTACTAGCAGAAATGTTATATTAGCTTATGCAGAGCAGCGCCTAGACATTTCTTCACCTGAGAAGAGGTAAATTCCGCTCCTATGGTACAATCAAATTAACTGAATCTCAGTATTTTTAGATTTAAAAAACTTAACGCTACTAAATCTTATAACTTTATATTTATAATATTATATAATCATAAAAGTGATAACTTTTAAATGGAAACATTAAAAATTAGTTTTTGGATAATAAACAAACAATACAGGGAATAATGTAAAGAGCATTATGTTTAGGTTTGGGATTATTTTGTAATTTAAATTTCCTTGTTTTTGACGAAGTAAAATGGGGAATAATTTTTTTTTCAAATCTAGTTGTTTATTTAATTTATTAGCCGCTTGTATGGCGAGATGCTCAAAATAATTATTATTAAAAAGAGAATATATATATAAAGATTTTAATGACGCTAGCTAGTGTAATTTCACAGGCGTAGCTGATATTTCGTAATAGTAAAGATGGAATACCATGTTTATAGCTGGTAGATCGCTTAGTTTCTTAATCAATAACAGCCGTTTTGAATTTGAAAGAAAAATTAAATATCTTACGCTTTGCTCTATGGCAGTATCCTGGCCGCGGAAGATAAAAATATTTTATTTCCGACAATCGGAACACATTTCTTTTAAAGTGCTGAGTCTATTTAATTCGAAAGGTTTAACATTTTGCTTTGCTGAGCGGTAAACATTTCATTTAACTCGCTGAGTTTTCGGTTAAAATTTGAAACATAAATTATAAGGTATTTCTCAAGGCCTTCTTATTATGCCTTCGTGGTGTAATGTAATGGTTAGCACGCTCGGCGCGTATTCGAGATATCCGAGGTTCGAGTCCCGGCAAGGACATTGCTAATTTTACATGGATCTTGCTTCGAAATAACCAAACAGATCTACAGTGGCGTCCGAACTAAAATGTGGTGGATGATGATTTTTCCACCACTAGGATTTGGCAATTGGGTCTCGAAATTCCCAGTCTCCCTTTAAAAGGGGAGTATATAAGGTATTTTCTCCCTCCTTTCGATACGCCTTCGTGTGTAGTGGTCAGCACATTCGACGCGTATTCGAGAGGTCCGTGGTTCGAGTTCCGGCGAGGGCATTGCTCAATCTCTCCTGCTTCGAAATAACCTAATGTCTCTACAAAATATTTTACTTTTTACGCAATAGCAGCACATTGCTTTTAACTCGCTTGCTTCCTGATCAAAATTTTATTAAATTTACACAAAATATGAAATAAATAAAAAACAAATTCAAAATTCAAAATTCGGGTTTCGAGGGGCACTTGTCGAGTGCAGGATTATACGAGTTTTAAATTTCGCGTTCTAGGTGGCGCCGTGTTTTCGTAATGGGAGAATTATAGTCTTCATTATTTAAAGATAGAGATGCTCTGTAAAGGAAACAGTGATACCTGAAAGATTTTTCAGATGTGATTGAACTAAACTGTATTCCTGAATTATTTTTAAAGGTATTGATTTTGCTTTGGCAAGCAGAATTACAGAAACAGCAAGTTTACAGCAATAGCAGAATTACAGAAATAGCATTTTTATAACTATATATTTCTGATGGAATATTTGGAGCACTTATGTCATTTGAATATTTAAATGCTAAGTAAGAAGCTGATCTTTTTAAAAATTCTTTAGCATCCCTCCCTTTAGGAAGAGAGGTCTCGTATGCTTTCCCAGACTCAACCTAACCTATCCTAATGCAACATTTGAAGTATCACAACCCAGTGACATTAATTTTTCACCAGTTCTAAACTGGAAATCGGAAGCTATCTCGCATAATTTTTGATATCTTCGATTTAGTTGCAAAACTAAAATGTCTATAATTTCTTTCATTTCCGCCATGAAACAATATTTTTCTAACAAAATTAGTTCTTTTATCTATTGATTTTTGAAAGTCTGATTTCTTAATCTTTTTTTTCAACTTCTGTTCTATATTCAGTTGATATATTCACTTTGAAAGCTAAGTTTTCATATTTCTCAAGTTTGATTTCTCGCATTTTCCGTAAAGGTAAAGGAAAATCTTTCGATTATGATAGTTAAGCTTATTCCGTATGGCAAACATCTTAGGGAGAGGATGCTTTCGTGGAGGACTTTCGAAGGGAACATGCTCGTACTTTACGTCTCACGTGGTGAAAAGAACTAAGTCATCCATTCAGTCATCATTCTAACCCATTCACCTGAATTCGACATTAAGTTGATCCCTCTGTTAAGCGCGCAGCTTAATGCGTATTTAAAATTTTCGATTGTAGGGCTTTATTTGTTATGGCAAAAATGTATTATGTATAATTCAGATTAAGAAAGAATTTATTATAATTTAAACAAAGGTAAATATTGTAGTAATTAAAATTGAAAAACGGAAATTTAATGGATTTTTTATTAAGGTTTAATAAATACGTGTTATAGTTTTTTTTTTGTTTTTATTTAAAAAAAAAAATTAAAGCTGGTGATGTTTGCTTGGTGCAATATATAACGCAACTCTTTGTAAGCAGCTCAGAGTTTTTCAATGTCTCTCAATAAATGCCATCTTCTTCATTCGTTCGGTTCAATCTCCATTGCAAAATCAGGCAGATCATGAACCTTTTTCGGCAATTCGTTTAATTTATTTAAAGATGCTTTAATTTCTTCTTTATCATAACTTATTCTTGACTTTTCCTTCTTCCATATATGAAACGCCTTTGCTGTCAATTGCTTTTGAAATTTATGGGATTTCTTTGACTTCATTTTCAATCTGTGGAAATCCTTTAAAACCGTTCATAACTTCTGGCGAGAACTTGATGTCAGCAAGCATTCGGTGTTAATGAATGAATCCTGAACCGCGTATGAGGGAAATTCCAACGTTGGATAAATCAACTGGAAACAATTAAGATATCGCGTGCAGAGGATTTTAGTGTTCGGGAAATCCGCCCACGGCAAGTGTTTACTGTATTGAATTTTATGAAGACATGCGCACAATTTTAAAATGATTTATTTAAAGAGGCCTAATTAGATTTCAGCTACTATAAATATTTATCATTCGATGCCTCATATAAATTTGAATTTTCTATATGTGTTAAGAAATAATAATGAGCTAAAAACTATTTAAATATATGATACTGACTTTTGTATCCAATATTAAATCGCTAATTGTTAGTTAAATTCCTGATTTGATTTTGTTAGCTGCTTAAAGAACATACGAGTTGCGGAAATGCTCAAGAATATAGCGCCCTTTCATTGATTTAAATTCGTTACTTTGAAACGGTGCCTCTCGATATATTTCAGAACTAATTAACTCAGAAAATTAACTATTGTAATTTATTTTTTAAATGTATTTCTAAACTTTTCGCAGTTTATTTGGAGCTCTCCTAGCTATTCACCTGAGGTAAGTGCTTCACTTGCCTCATTCTTGTCCCGGCTTTGATCTTACGGCAGTCATGTTACGGGTTACATTCTTCAAGTATAAAAAAGTTCTGCAGCATAAAGAATGGCATTAAACGACGTCGGATGCATCGAAAGAATAAATGTGTGTCGCAATTAAAAAGTGTCAACTAATAATATTATGGGAAAGCAAAGTAACACTGACGTTCGGGTGAGGTTTACTGTTTATTGGAAATGGAGTTAGGGAGTATGCATTCAAGAAATTTTGCTTTGTTTTAGTCAATTATATAGTAACGCACACGAAGATTGCCGGCCTAGGTAAAGAGATGCTTTCGTGTAAGGTTTTCTAAGGAAAACTAGTTTGTATTCACAGAACACATGAAAAAGTTCCTTAAAAGACCATGCAGCCACCTCGTTTAATGTAAATGAGTAGATTTTGTGTTTTCCTTTATCATATTTGAGTTCAACAAAAATTATTTGAAGTTGCGTAACAAAAGTTAACGGAATATTTAACGGAAAAGAAAAATTAAAATTACTCTCCAACAAGCCAAAATTTCCTTGATGACAAATAATAAGTAATCCGAATGCCCATGTAATTGGAATTATTGATGTCGAACTGAACTCCAGATTTCTGAGAAAGACATTAAGATACGGAGTTAATTATCTGAAAACTGGCTAAGCAGAAATGGAGAAAGGCCTATTTTCGTGGGTGATTTCTAAAGAAAATTTGCTGGTTTTATATTGCACTATCGGATAAGCCACTAAAAATGTCAACGTTGAGAGTTTTTATTTTCTCGGTCGCTGATGAGATAAGGATGACAAAAGTCACTTTCGAAATTTTAAACATTTGTAGATGGCGGTGCAGGGTTATAAAGTTTATGACTATATAAATTCTATGTCAGAAGATGTCCAAGCGCATACAGAGATTATTTGATCATCATGAAACTTAATATAAGTTATGAGAAGATAAAAATGAAGAAATGAATAAACTAGACTGAATCAATTCATTTATTAGCAAATATAAGTCCGGATGCTTTACATTATTAATACGATGGATAACTACCATTGGCATTATACTAACGTCGAATACGTTCTTGCGGAATCCGCTGCCAGATAATTTATGACTGCTTAGTAAGTTTTTGCACGTTGCGCAAAAAACGCAAACAAAACTCTTACTTGCGTGTTAACAAAGCGCATACACGTTATGAGGGTTAATAGAGCATATAAATACCATCATTACATAGCGATGCCCCAGTGTAAAGATACCAGAACCTTGCGAATTATACGTTTTTAAATTAAAAGTGATTTCTACGAGCGTGAGACCACCTTTGTGAAAATTTTTGTTTTGAAGGATTACTTACCAACTTGCACAAAGGTGCCA